TTCTTACTCTCTTAGCTTAAAGGGGCCGGGCAGTGCAAAGCGCCCCGGGCGGTTCCCCCAGTCCCCGCCCCGCGGTTCCCCCCAGTCCCCTGGGAGCTTTAGCTTTAGCTTTAGCTTTAGCTTAGCTTTAGCTTAGCTGTAGCTTAGCTTTCGCTTAGCTTTTCGCTTAGCAGTTAGCTTAGCGTTTAGCTTAGCTTTAGCTTAGCTTTAGCTTAGCTTTAGCTGAGCGTTTAACTTAGCTTTAGCTTAGCGTTAGCTTAGTTGTAGCTTAGCTTTAGCTTAGATTTAGCTTAGCTTTAGCTTAGAGTTAGCTTAGCTTTAGCTTAGCTTTAGCTTAGCTGTAGCTTAGCTTTAGCTTAGCTGTTGCTCAGAGTTAGCTTAGCTGTAGCTTAGCTTTAGCTTAGATTTAGCTTAGCGTTAGCTTAGCTTTAGCTTTAGCTTAGCTTTAGCTCAGCTGTGGCTTAGCTTTAGCTTAGCTTTAGCTTAGCTTTAGCTTAGCGTTACTGCTACTACTAATGCTGCTTTCCTAGGGGTTCCAACTCCTAGGTAGGGTCGCACTGGGATAATTTACTTCTTCTCTCTCTCTCTCTCTCGTTCTCTCCCTCCCTCTCGTTATCTCAAAGGTCGGTTCGAATGATCTGCTCAGAGCGAGCCCAGACGCCAAGCGCCCCGCACCGATCCTTGCCTCGCGATACCAGACACGGCCCAGACCAGGCCGCGACAGATTGGCGCCACTTCCCCTTCGGGACGCGAGCGCGCTCTCGCCGTGCGCCGCATGCACCACGGCAGCCCAAGCCACCAGGAAAGGCCGCCAAATGACTACATGAGCAAATCGACAAGATACCAACCTCAATCGGAAGGACGACCGTGTCGCCGCACTCCAGAGCAGTGGTCGCTGCATACAACGATCTCGCTCACAAACACCAAACTGATCACGACTCCACTTACCCGCAACGCCGCTCCGACCCATATTAAGATCAGTTGCGGCTACACCGTAGTGTTTTTCTCGCTGACGCACAGAAAAGCCATCGACATGAGCCACTACCTTTAGGAACCACGGTCGACGCCGATGCCCACCAGGGCAAAGGCAAGGCCCCTCTCATCGGCCTGGACGCGCACAACTGGGACGCCCCCGTTACCACTGCGACCGATGGGGAGGGTGACGGGGCGTCGCCCACCACGAGCAGCTCACCTCGCACGCTACCAGGAAGGCGACCGCTTGCTGCAGCAGCCCCACACACAAGACAAACCTCTAGCGTTCGCAGTGCTGGGGGTCATCAAAAGGAACTACCCAGGCAAAGTGAGCCTAATCCCAGGGCTCCGCCGCACGGCCAAGGATACCAAGCCTACGCCAGGACGCGCCTAAGGGACCATCTACCAACTCGGACGAGAGGAGGCCCAGTCCCTCCAAAGCGTCGTCCAAAGTACTCTCTACCCAGCTGACAACGTCGCCTGGATCCGCACCGACATTTGGCGGCGCGCAAAAGGGGGTAGGGGGAGGGGGAAGGCTTCTTAGAAGCACCCTGCTTCTTAGAAGGCCACAGCCTTGCATCTATAGGAAAGGCCAGCGCCTTCTAAGAAGCAGGGGTGCTTCTAAGAGGCCTTCCCCCCTCCCCCTACCCCCCTCTGCGCGTGGCCGATCACTGACGCGTCCACGGTCGCGCTCACGTCACTCACGCACCGCGCACGTACAGGAAGCCATGAAGCTCTGAGGACCCCACGGCACGGCGGTAGGCAACCCCATGCACACGGCCGCCTGCGAGATTCAGCCAGCCAGCGCCCCTCTAACTCTCTCCGCATCTGGGCAACGAGGCACCCAGTTCGACCCCAGCTACCACGTCTCCAAAAGGGCCCCCACCTAGCGACTACACCTTTGTGCGGTACCCAGATGCTCACAGGACCATCCTTCAGGAAATTCACGACACCCCCACCAAGCACTATGCTGTCGGTGCGGTCCACGCGGACAAAAGAGTGGGCATCAGAGTCAAGGCGGACACCCAGGAAGCCGAACTAGTGGCCCTGGAACTCCTCGAGGCAAACGCTGCCTTCGCCAAACCCGAGTACCGCATGATGGCCATCGAACCGCTGAGCGCCACTATGATGCAAATCGCCAGGGGCCTCGCGACCACCAAGTGGCACTGCGGAGTCCAACGCACTGGCTGGGACTGGGCGACCAGGCCAGGGGCGACATCGCCATCGTCAAAGCGACCAGCCCTCCTCGGAACAGGGCGGTCCACGTCTGCGGGTCCACCCACCCACGGACAATCGTCAAGACGGCGGCGCACGCCCCTGGCGAGGCTGACTCCCCGAAAGGGATCACCCGCACGATCGCCTCGCCAAAGACCATCGCGACAGAGAAACCAATGGCAGGATAACCCGCATCGGGACAAGGATTTAACATTCCCCCCTCTCCGCAGGACAGGGCCGTCACCAAGCCCCACCTTCCCCTTGGAAGAAGCAGCGCAGCGTCAGCGTGCCGGGCTCGCAAACGAACGAGCAA